TATGTCTGAACTACAGATAATAATACGCGACATCAAACACCACATTCCTGAATTCAATTATTTTATAAATTCTTGACGTTCTTCCCCCAAGACGCCAATTTTGACTAGTATTTGAAACATATTGACAACAAAAGGTAACTATTTGGATCAAAAAACGATAGTTTGAGCTGATATCTGCAGTTCTGATGCGGTTTTAAGTTCGATATGTGTCGGAGGAGCCGTTTTTGACTGGAATCTGTTTGAAAAATGGGAGAAAAACCTACTATCAATCCAAAAAAGTGGGGTTTTAAGTAATTATCTGTGGTGTTAAAGTGGATATCAGCAGATTCTGACTTGGATCTTATCGAAATTTGCAACTGTTTGTCTCAGAAAGGGGGTTTTACACCGATATCTAATGGTTTATAAAGGTTTTCATTACTATAATGCTGGAACACGCCAATTTTGACTAGTATTTCAAACATATTGACAACAAAAGGTAACTGTTTGGATCAAATAATGATGGTTTGAGCTGATATCTGCAGTTTTGATACGGTTTTAGGTTCGATATGTGTTGGAGGAGCCGATTTTGACAGCAATCTGCTTGAAAAATGGAAGAAAAACCTACTACTAATCCAAGAAAGTGTTTTTAAGTAGTTATCTGCAGTTTTAATGTAGAATCTACTGAGCGAAAACCATTTATTTGTCCCAAAAACCCTTTTATCATTTAAGTTGTAAGCTACCGACAGGTGGTTCGCAACACTCTTCAACACAACCTCACTTCTAGACGAATTCGTGTATGTATAATAAAAATGCTGTAATTTCTGTCGCGTAGTGCCCGCTTCCTTTCTGACACTTCGTTACCTCCGGGCATAATGTGGTCACGGATTAACGTCGAAAATGTGTGGGAATGGTTTCTGATTTTTGAGTCGATGACCATTAAAAAAATACACACGCACGCCGTCAATTAAAATAGACATCGTCTCGATGTTAATAAGCCTCAAACGAGGTTGATTCGTATAGATCGTTTCACCGCCCCTCGCGGTACGCGTAAATTATCGGACGAAACTATTTTTTCAAGTAAAATATCGACTAGCGGAATCCGCCAAATAAATCCGAATTAAAAGCCATCATCGCCGCGGAAGCGAAACGCATACCGCAGGGCTTACGGTAAAAGAACACACGTATGTGCTTCCCACGCTTTTTTTTCTCTTCTTACGAGTAAACCGCATTGTCAGCGAATAATAATAATTTAGTCTGCGTTTTTTTTTCGAGACCTCTCGCCTTTTCATTCGTTCATCCGTCGGTCTGTGCCGTATATCGCTGAAATGCTTTTGCGGTGGCAGTAAAACCACCCGATCGTTTTTAAACCCATTGTTAAACCGGGAACGTTCACATAAACTTTGCACTTCGATTCCAGATCGTTCATGCGACATCGGTCGAGAAGAGACTTGGTTCTCGCTGAGAAATTTTAGTTCAAGTATCGGCCAAATAATTGAGCGTTACAGCGAAACTTTGTTAACAAAAGAACGTCCAGATAAAAGTGTCGATTGACCGTTTGACCTTTAGCTAGAAACTTGGTGGACAATTCCGTGAATATCGAAAAAACAAATTAGCATGGATTTCATTTTCCACTTCCTCATCATTGCTTTTTTGGGTCTTGGTTTGTTGTGGGGTTGATATATGTCTAGCATTTCGTAAAGCTAAGGATACTCAAGTTCGGACAGGTAGATTAAGTCAGGAAGCAATTTCTAAACTCCGTTACTCAATAGATTTTAAACTAGTCCACTCTGACAATTTTTTGACGTTGAAATAAAGAAAATTAACTTCTTGCATGACTCGGCCTTCGCACAGCGTCAAAAGCATCCCCTTTTAGATTAAGAGATCGAGGTCTTTTCTGATTCATCGGGTTTGTTTTCTTTTCCTATCGGATTTTAAGCAGCATACATTTTTCGTCGACGTTCGTATCTTATCGAGACAAATATATACGATGTTTATGTCGGGGGTTTCGTTTGTCGTCGCTTCGCAAACTTTTCTCGTTTCAAACGTTATCGCGTCGTTGAGTTGAAGAACCCTCAACAAGAGTTTAACCTCGTATCCGCCACGCGAGAGAACACTTTGGCGCAATTACCTCGGCCCACCCGAAGATATCTTTCCCCCCTTGCGTCGGCAAAATATATACGGATTAATGCGTCGAGGATGTTGTTGCCCTTTTTTCTTGTCCACAAAATGTGCGGAACATATGATCGCGCGGTGTCGTATGTCGAGACCTTTCGCGGATCTGTTTGCGGAGGTGTTATGACGATGGGTTTGTTTACGGCTTGATGGTGTCGCGTTACTGGCAGCTCCGTGCGAATCTGCGAAGGGCGGCTTGCGAAACCCCTTGAAGTCCGACGGTGGATAACATTACGAAACGTATGCGTGCGTGCGTGAGTTGCTTGTCTCTTTTAAAACCAGCATTACGTAATTCAATACCAATGCGTCTTGCGTCTGCTTCTATTTACGAGCATCAGGTGCGCGCCCATTGGATGAGATATTGCAGACTACGTCGATATCGAATCTCAGAATAAAAACAACTTATATCACGACACGGATAACCTTTTACTCGAACAATTCTTTTAAAGAACTTTTACAGCTAGGAAAGATGGAATAAAGACGCACGATCCCTGATGATGGTGCTAAACGGATGAATGCTTGAAATTAGCAGTGCTAAACAGATAAATCGCTTGAACTGAGCAACTGGGACACAAGTGCTATGAAAAACTTTTTACCAAGAAGGGAACTAACCAAAAGTTGTCAATAGGATTAGAGCTCATGGTTGTATTTCGTCAGTTTGCAGTGTACGCTATCAACACCTGGAGAGCTGCAGAAGCAAATAAACAAGCTTAAACTGGCCGCGATATCGGAAGAAGAAACGTATGGTCGAGAGATTTGGCTTACTTTTAACTGTTCATAGAAAGCTCCGCAAGTTGTAGAACTTGAATATGCACTTATTTTGGTTTCCTCCTGCGTCGGGTATTGACTGTATTGCTGACGTTTCGCAAACATGTACCCACAAAACACGTAAAACAATAAGAGTGCTTTTTCATTCTTGTTTGTATAACTCACTAGCTAGCTACGATCTAGTCCAAAGGAGGCCGATCCTAGATGAATCCCTCTAATGATAGCATATCGGCCGCACGTTCTCGAAACAAAATCCCAGGCAGGCGGATATAGTCTTTGTGCGTATTTGAATGGTGATGATAATAAAATAGGTTCATGTGAATAATCTTGGACCACGCAAGCACAAAAGGCGAACAAGTTTCGGAGTGCATTTTTGCCCCCCTCCCGTCGAATTGGAAATAAAAATGCTAATCGGGGACGGCCAACGAACCACCGCCGGGTCGACCTATATATTTCCATGAAAAATAGTTCGGCGGAAAAGCTTTTAAAAGCGGATCATTACGAGGGGTGAGCGATTTTGCCTAATCATCACAAAAGGGCATTGACACACAACAATAAGCGAACAAATCATCCCGGCGATTCCCATGTCCTTTTTCTTGTATTTCGCAGGGTTGCGTTAGCATATAATCCATTCATTATCGACTATGACTAAGTTTTTTTTTGCGCCAGGTCTACGCGTTTTAAGGTTGTGTAGGAAAGATGATCGGCCAATTCGCGAATTTATAGGCCCAGTCTACCTCTAACGAATAAATTCATTCATCGTATTTAAACTAAACCTAAATACAGAACATAAATCAGGGTGTACTGCAAAGATTAATAATTCAAAGAAGATTTTTCTCGTTTTGCTTTCAACAAGCAAAATTAAGAGCATGTCCTATGAATTTAAAAGTCATTTACATATTTTAGAAAGCGTTAGTTTTGTTACTTAGATGTAAAGAATAAAGTGTTTACATCAAAAACTATTAGGATATATTTAATATTGCTTGATCTATCTATCTTGCGTTGTTGAAGTGGCAAGCTTTTCGTTTAATGTCGAAGATTCGGATAAATCCCAGAGGAACTATTTTTTAAGCAAATTCACGATAAATCATACAACGTAAACATGAAACTGATACAAAACCAATGCAATCATTCCAAATTTGACTTCCGAAGCAGATTAACATTTTTTCCGCCAGAGATTCCGATTGAATTGTAAAATCGCCAATAAAAGTGCGTAAATTTGTGCCGGCATTCATAAAACGAATACAGTAAACCAATAGGCGATAAATATTCAGCGAGAAGCTAGAAAGTTATGCGTGTTATTTACTTGGTTGGCTGACATTTTTGTCTGTCGACCTTGGCGGAATGGGACAAATCCAGACAGGAAGTAGTATGTGTGCCTTAGAAGTCGATAAAACTCGTTCGCAACGATGAGAATGTTGGTATTGTTATTTGATACTTCGTGACGTTATTTATCGCAAAACATAATTTTTGCGGCACCGCCTGGCAGCGGGGACCCTTTTTAATCTTTGGGGTTCCGAGCAAACACAGATAACATTTCTTCGACCTTTGACGCGGGTTGACGTTTTACATGTTTTAATGAATGAATCTCGGCTTGTACTTCAAATATTTGATAACCTCGCTCGCACGATAAGACCCCAGTTATACATATATGGCCGAAGAACTTATCGGGTATAGGTATTCCGTAATCTTCATTCATTATGTATTTTCAGCTGTTTAATTTACATACAAATGACCGACGGTTCGATGAGGTTCCTTATGTAAATAATTTACATACCAAATTCGGGTAGAGCACGCCTATAAAAATTCAAGGTGACGGTTTTTCCTTGGACGCAGCCGTTGACCAGCGGCAGACGTCTAATATCGTAGTATCAAAAAGGGAAAGTGCTTCGTTAGAAAACGAAGGAATATTTTAGTTTCCACGTTCGCTAATGACTTTTACCTTCGTTTTAACAATACCTATGCCCGGGTTTGGCGATGTTTGTTTTGTTTTTATTACGCAGTTACTGATTGCTGTGTGTGCGGCGGTTATTTAACGCCGTGAGTTGAACAACCTCCGGTTCGGAAATCTATAAAATTACCGAGACAATTACGCCAAGGCGAAACGCAAATTCAAGTACGCCATAACCAAGCTCAACGTCAGCGGTGGGGAAGAAACTGGAGGATGTTGGTGGCATCAGACGACCACACAGTTGCTACAACGTTCAGGCGATGAAGCTGTTATGCTCTAAAACCGAAAGACATGACCATTAATAAAAAGCTACAAAAAACGACCACACTAGACATGTCTATTTTAAAGACCTGTCAAAGGTTTTTCTGTTACATGAGACTATCTGAGCAACGATCTTTTTATAATGGTCTGGCACCAAGGCGTTCATCAAATAACTAAGAACTTTCGGGACTAAACCGAAATAGTCAACCACTTCTTTGTACTTTAAAGACTGGATATGCAAGGAGTTGTAAGAAGTTGACAGAATATGCGATAAGTGTCACTGCTAAACCAGAGGAATCAAGGGTTGTCTACTTTAAAGACCCAAATCAAACAAGGCCTGTTTATTTTCAAGATCTGCATAATATTCCTGCTTGCATAAGATTACACGGAAGTCTATCGAAAACTCAGGAAGTCGAACTGATAAGCAAAAGGGACCAAACGTACGCATCTTCCTGATTTTACTCCGTTACGGATTATCTTCCTTCTGTCAATTATTTAAAAGCGCAATAACGAAACTATTTAATTAACGCATCTCTTTTACAAGATTTACAAAAATCAGCTCATCTAAATTGAAGTTAACGCGTTGTTGTCCTGGTCAGCTTGGTAACGCCATCAAAATGGTTACGTGGAAATTACAATTGAAACGCCACCTACCTGTCATCAACAAAAAATAAAACCCATAAAATTAATAGAAATTCTAATTTTTCTAATTACCTCAGGATATAAATTTGCACGAGAGTGTAAGTCCAGAGTATCCTCTTTTGGGTGAGACGCCCTCCGGTGGGAATAACTGGCCTTCAACTGTAACAAAAAATAGTTTGTACATACTTTTTATAAGAAAACTGCTGATGTTTTATGTGTGGAGCCGCGCATTTTCAGTATCTACGAGACCAAGGTCGCGGGGCACACTAAATTATATCCCGGAATGACAATTTGATATGGGCGAGTTGAGAGATGGGCGTCAGCTTATGCCAGCTATAACAAAATAGATCGAGATAAATAATGCGTAAAATTTTTTTGGCAGCGTGAACACTTTTTAACCGATGCTAACCCAGTTTCTTTTTTTTAAATACATCGTTTTTTAAATAATCCGCGTACGTGTGGGTTTAGAATTTTTCGTGGGGCTATAATTAGAGTCGTAAATATACGGATTTGATTCGAGTTCCTGATGGTTCATTTAATGAACCTTGCCGTTGCCGACGAGCGGACTAGGGGATGAAATTCCAGAGCCATTGACCCGCATGAAAACAGAATTAACTCCGGTCACGGCACGGAAACGTACAGGTGCGTAAAAATCTTCTTTCGATCATGAAAATTTGCGCCGGAATGAGCCCGATTTACCCAGTGTTCGAGGTGCGGCACCTCACACGCGACCTTGTGCGAATGCAGTTATGCAGTTCAACTAGTGTGAGAAGTGTGAAAGATAAAATGAGAGCTCCGTAGATAACTAGATTTAGCACCGACACTGACACAATGATAATAATGGTTTAAAACAAATTTATTTTGAATATTAGTACGTGTACCGCTGCCAACGACGTCATCTAATGAGAATAGAAGACAGGAGGTGTAACCAAGCAAAAAACAGCATTAAACCAGGAAGTGATTCTCGAACCCAGATAATAAAGCTCTATAATTATGAAGGGAGTCTTGTCGAATCATCTCTGTGATGGTCCGAAACCCAGATGTTTATCGACAAATTAAGAAGTTCATCTGCGAACCTTCCTGGAGGAAAGAATAAAAAATGTTGGCGGGTGGGGTCAAAATAACTTTGACAAATGGTAGCGTCTACTGCCGGGCGAAGACTAACCAAAACTAACAAAAGTGAAAGAAAATGCCGAATATAGTTTTTACTAAGACAATTGCGAAACGACCTGGTGTAACCAAGCCAGAAGCAACCAGCTACACCATAAATCCCACTATCAAGTCATGGGCTCCCAAAGAAATTAACTTAAGATAATAAAGCTTTATAATTATGGAAGGAGTCGAAATAGATGTTCGGGATCGCATCAGTAGGCCAAAAACACCAGACGTCTAAATTTTCTTTCTTCGATTCGTCTCTTTAGAGAAGCGTCGCGGGAAAATCAACAGTGTAAACCTCTCACCAAATAAACTAGCCACCCCCTCCCGAACCGGCGCGACGCGATCGATTTTCCGGGTTTTAGGGGCGCCATCGTCTGCGACCTTGAAAACCCCGCCAAAATTCGGAGACAGAAAAGGAAAACAATGAACGTAGAGCGAGAGAGGGCTTGGCGCGTAGTCGGTCTCGCCGGGGTAAAAGTCCGAAGGACGCTAGACCGGCAGATCCGCATTGAGGGGAGATGGGCGGACAGTGTTAGCGATTTTCTACGTTAGGATTATTGAATCACTTTTAGCTTGTATTCATCGTCCGTCAGAAAGGTCAGTTTCGGAAAAGAACTGTTGACCTGTATAATAATCGTCTTAGCAACATCCTTTGTTTTTAGACCGCGAGAATACTTTGTTTTATCCTCATTCGAAAATAATGCCTTAGAAACAGAACTCTTCAACTATACCATCTATTTACGTATCTAGATCTTCAATGCACTGCACGCGATCTCTGGGATCTTTCGTGACTTCTGGCATTTAATGTAATTTAAAGATCATGGGGGATCCTCAACAATATTAAACTGTCGTAGCTTTAATGCGTGTCCTTCATCTTCGCGCTAGATAGTTAAATAACGAAAAAAAAAATCCCAAAATCCGCCCCTGTTAACCGACACCAGCGACGCGTTAAATAAACGAACGGCCGCCAGAGAAATTCGCCGGGTACGGGAAAATCGAGAAAATAATGTAATCGGTGTGGCCCGACCTTGAGACGCGTATGCGTCGGTCGCTATTTTGACAATCTCCATTGTCGTAAATTAATAATTACGACCGAACCGGCGCGGTTTCTCGCATTCTTAAGAGATATTCTCTCGTGCCGTTTAGTTCCTTTTGTGTTCCAGTTGCACGGGCATATCATGCCGGTCGCAGATTAGATCAAAATGCGGACCCCGTTAGTAAAACCAGTCCTGGCGGCTGTGGGAGTCAATTTCTATCGGAACTAGATTGAGAGCGACTTGGTTTTTTTTTTCGAATCGCCACGAAACGCGCTTTCAAAAATGTCTGCGTATCCAGCACCTGATATATCAACCGCGTGAGGAGAACGACCGGTCCGGCGGGGTTGCGGGACCGCCAGGTTCGATGGACCCTTTCCGGGGGAGATGCCCTTTCGATTCCCCTCGAAAAGTTTCGGGCCAGGGAATCGACTATTGTACTCTCGCAGACGCTGAAAAAATAACGTACAGTCGCGCGACAGACGGTGTGCGTGAGAAGCCGGTATTAATAATGACGCGTAAAAAAATTCACCGAGCCGAAATAGTTGTCCAGAAACGCTAGGCATCAATTTCATCTAGAAAATTAGTTTTTCTGGCTAATTAACTTTTATTTAAAAAAAAAACGCAAACTGAAATCCGCTTAAATTAATGAACAGCCACGCAAATATAAGTTTCCTATAATCATTTATATTTAATTACGAACATGTCTTGCAAATATTGGTGGCATTTTTAAAGCTGTCAACTAAGTAATAAGGTCTTTTTGCCCCCTCCTAAATTTTACCCATTATGTCACTTTTTTTTTTTAATTACACTGACACCATTTACAATAGTTTTTCGGTAGTCGTCAGAATTTCTCTATTTCCAAAAAGGATGCGTCCTTCAAACTGATCTGGATAAAACCATCATTCAATTGAACAAAAAGATAACATCCAAATATCCCACTACACTAATATATCCTTACTAGAGATATAGAGGCTCTGACTAATGCCGATAATACAATAATACAGGAACCGATGAGGCAACTATAGAAAAATGTTTTTGAATTTCTGCGGCATTCAGCAACCAACATACGCGCTGACATATCGTCAATAAGCTTGAACGATCGCTGTTTTAAAAAAAATGACGCAAATTGCACGTTAGTGGGTGAAATGTAGAGGCATGCGTGGAAGGAAAATCATTCCCTTCTCTATGGTGCATCAATTTTTACAAGTATTGTTTAATAGACATATTAATGAAACATGTATGAAGCATGACGAAATTATAGCTATAAACCGAAAGAATGTAAAAAACTACAGATCAGATCATACACCGTAAGAAATTCATTTGCATATAAGGTCTGGATAAATCTGCACTGCTAAGAAGTTTCATGATCATTTCAACTGGACAAAAAATAACATTGCGCGCTGACCAAATTATAGCTTTAAACCGCAAGCATGTAAAAAATAACAGATGGATAGAATTTCATATGCATTCATATGGGTTCTGGGTGAACCCGGTGATGAAGAACTCCGGATTGTTTGTTGTTTGCCATTAAGATATTAAACATGGTCACTGCGAAATACATATAGCTTTCAACAGGTAGTAAAATCTAATACACATTGTTACATATCGGTGTTATATTATCGATTTTGTGTTAATCTCTTATTTTCATCAGTCTCCAGAATTTGACGCGATTATGGTTCGTCAAACTCCATTATATTTTTATAAATCGACAGGTGTGTGTGTGTGTCTCTGTATGAGCAGGATCGTTGCATAAACGGGTAATGCCCGCCTACTGCCACACGTGGTCGGCACCGACTCAAAAACGTAAACAGGAAACGCGGAGGCGTAAACAGATGTGTCAACCTTTCCATTCTATTGTCATTTACTTTCTATCGTTTCCTAACAGTACACTCTTTTCTCTCGCCGTCGCAAATCCTCGGGCATCGCGCACAATGGTCTCACATTTGCATCGGCTTAATAATAAAAAAAAAGGTTACGTTTGAGCGGTAACGCCTACAATACCTCATTACCTACATTATTGCCTAGACCCGGGAAAGAGGGAAAGGTCCGGGTAGTATACTTTCGAGGCAAATTGAATTTTCAAAGATCAGGTATATAATCTTTTGTTGCGCGTGGAAGACATCTGCTCGCGAACAAAAGCGAACTTTCACGGGATGATAAGACGTTTTGTGTTGTTACTTTGTTTAGGCGAAAATTTTGAGAATAATACGGCGACCTAAATAAACAAAAGGACATAGCTTTATTTGTTTGAAACGGACCGTCGTACTAGACTTATGGAAATAAAATAATCTTCATGTTTCTACCAGGGAAAGAGCACTTTTAAAACATAACCGTTCCTGGTTTTCGGGCTATACGAGGGCGGTTGCATGTAGGGCTTCTTCACCTCCTGTGATTTGGTTAGTCAGCATTTTCGGTAGCCATCTTTTGTTTGCGTAGAATGGTTTTAACGCCGTTTATTAAAAACCATAAAAATCACATTCATACTTTAATTGCAAAGAGCAAACAAAAATCCCGCATTCGGTCGTTTAAGGCAAGATATCAAATAGTGTACTAGCGAAAGTGAGAAATCCAAATTCTATCACTTTGAGCCAAATTTCTAATTTATAATGATGAATATTTTTTTTACCCCGTAAAGCTGACGCTCTTTTGATTTTATACTGCGAACGAGCCGTTGTTCCTGCATAAAAAATGTACATTGGTTAGTATCACTATATCTAAAGCCGTTGGCAAAATATTTTTTTTTCAATATTCCATCGTAGCAAACAAAAATTTTCGTTTTCAGGGTTTATTCATCGCTTTTCTCAATGATTTGAAAATCTTTCCTTAATTCCTCAACATCATGCATCTTTTCAACGATAAACATTTGACACCACATTTACTGAACAAATTCCATTCTGATTTACAGTATTACTGTTACTCTAATGATGGTAAATTTAATGGGATATCCCGTATTCCTACTATAAT